CGCCACCGCTACAGCCAGGACAATGCACACAACAACCACCACTGAACCTCCGTCACCATCGCCACAGCACCGCACACGACCACCTCCAACGCACACAGCACCACATGATTCAGTCAACCATCGCACCTACAGCACCACAGAGCACATCACCGCCATACCGACTGTCGCACCACACACCTTCACCATCGAACCGTCGTCATCACAACACTCAAAAATAAAAAAGGGGAAAAAGAATGGATTTGCACTCCCGAACTGTAGCAACGGTCCGGCGAACAACTCTACCCCCACTGCACCACTACCCGTACACGGCACCACACCACTCACTCGACCGCTGCACTGCACTGCACTGCACACCTCCACCGGACCAAAGCACATCACCGCACACAACACCCGATCTCTATTCCTACCAATGCACCGCACACCTCCACCACCACATCCACCTCCACCACCACATCACTCCGAACCTCCACCGAACCGTCGGTGAGCGAAGCGGATCTGCATCGACGCAATGAGCACAGCGACGTTGTCCGCAGATATGGGAGGCGTCACCAGTGAAGGTTGGTAGAGAGAGAGAAGACATAAGGCAGGGATGAGAGAAGACAGAGAGATGGAGAGAGAAAGAAAATGGAAATCGTTTCTAGGATTTGTGATGAAATTGATTAGAATTTTAATATAGTACCTGCCTTTTGAATATATAAACTTTAGACCTGATTTTTAAAAAGTAATTTTTAAATACCTGCCCCATGAAATTTTCCCAAAAAAAAATCCAGATTGGGCCTTAATTTTTTTTCTAGCTAAAAAACTCACACATGACCCAACTACTCAAGTCCAAGTTTTAATATTTTGATGAAAAAAATGACCCACACAAACACTTTTCTTTCACTTCCCTTGCACTTCAATCTCACTTTTCATCTTCTTCAACTCACGGAACTTTTCACTTCACTTCCCTTACACTTCAATCTCACTTTTCTCATCAAGAACCCACTCGATCTCTCACTGGACATTAAATGTAATTGTTCACAAATTGATTCCATCATACAACACACAAAGCAAGCAAAGGGATTCAAACGTATGTCAATTATTTCTCCTCTCGTTCTCTTGAACTTTTGTGCTTGC